TTGACCCGCTAGAAGAGCGAGGTGCGCGAGAACGCTGGGACCCTTTTTCCACCTGGATCTCCGCTGTTTTTGGCCCTCATGTCCCTCCGTCGTCAGACTAAACTCGCCCCCACTTCCTCGCCGCCTCGGCCGTATCTAGACCCACAGTGTGTAGCACAGACCACGCTTCAATATTGAGCATAATTTAAAAATGTCTGTGTCAAGCTTACTGCAACACACTGCTGTAAGAGTATAACCAGGAAGCGAAGTAGGAGGGCAAAATAGGTTTAGCGCCACCGCAGCACCGGAGGGAGAGTTACGTCCAGGAGCAAATGGATAAAAATAGACCGGAGAAAAAAAACAAAACATGAATCGATTATCTTGCGGACGTGTCGATGCATCGGATCGTCGGCTTTTGGATCGATGCATCGATACAAAACGATTATTATTTACACCCCTAATGAGTTACATGTCATCTACTCTGATCACTCATAAATGAAATTACACAATGGTCATTCAACCTTTAAAGCAGTGGTCTCCAACCCTGGTCCTCAAGATCTACTCTCCTACAGATTTTAGATGCATCCCTGCTTCAACACAGCTGAATCAAATGAATGGCTTGAAAAGGTAATCAATCATTTGATTCAGCTGTGTTGAAGCAGGGATGCATCTAAAATCAGTAGGACAGTAGATCTTGAGGACCAGGGTTGGAGACCACTGCTTTAAAGCTTACATAATATAATGGCATCTCAGTTTGTGTCGTTGGGTGAAAATTTGTTTTTAGCTTTTTAATTTTTTTATCCATTATATATTATGTTACCTAAACAAAATATTGAATAAAAGCTATCAGGCTTCTGGAGAGTAAGAAAAGGTCGAGATGGCGGTAGAAGGTTGCTTTTTACAAGTTGTCTCTGATTTAAGAGTTCATCCTATACTTCCCTGCATACTGCTGAAAATCCACTGTGAAAAGATATCCTGAAGGTAATGTTATACAGAGTACTTCAAAAAGCTGAAAATATAATTTTTAGGTAGCAAGTGTTTAAAGGGATTGTAAATAAAGTTATTTAGCTTAAATAACTCCCACCTGATGGCTGATTCAGTGCCACTGATGAGTTTTGGGGTTACAGCAAAGTTGAAACATGTTGATAAAATATTCAGCTCTGACTGGCTGATCTCTCTGTTTGAAAGACCTTCTCCCACTGGTTTCAGTGATATGCTATGAACTTTCCTTTCTATGTTCCTCTCTGTGGACTCTGGTAGTTGCAGAAGTACAACTTGTAATGACTCCTGTATACATGTTGAAACATTTTTTTTAAAGTTTGGGTTGGCTTTAATGTACGCCAGTTTTGTGGGTTTTCAAATAGCACATACATGCATACATACATACATACATGCATACATACATACATACATACATACATTATTTGTGTAAAATTGCTATTTTATATCGACTCCCAGTTGAAACAGATCAAATTAGATTCTTGATTTATTTTTATGTTTAAAAAGAAAGAAAAATAATGTTTCCATAAGCTCCAACCCTCAGGTGCCATATCCCTTATTTATGTGTCACTTACAAATTATTTTCTACTACATACTAACTGTCTGTTATAATGTAGGTGCATTATATAACAGACAAATCTTCAAATCCAAATACTTAGCTATACGTAGTAATTACTGTATATAGATGTAAAATTATGTCAGATGCCGCATCTGTAATGTAATCTTTAAATTGATGAGAAAGAAGTTTAATTACAGCAGCAGATACAACAGAAGTCCCTTATGAGGTTCAGTTCCACAAGGCTACTTTCTTCCATTTAACAATGCATTTGTCAGAAAAAAAAACATCACCTTTCCCTGACTGCTCTTTCGTGCTGCCTGTTTGTTTAATACTGTATGCCTTTATATTCTCATATTGTGAGATTGCAGTAAGAAACTGCTATGTAAATACGGAAGCTCTAAGTCGATCAGTGAGTAAAAATGTTGCATTATATCCCTCAAAATTTCAATGAACATGGAGTAATAAAATATCCAAGTCAGAGACCTGTAACTACTGAACAGTAACTACTGTTTAAACTGCTGGTGAAGATTCTCCGTCATCCAGGTCATAGTCATTCCAAAAAAGTAAAAAACAAACAAAAAACAATCCACAGGACTTTGTTTCCAAGTTTGAAGACGTTTCGCTTCACATCCAGGAAGCTTTTTCAATTCAAAATATTAGAAATAGCGTTGAGTTTGAGACTTTAGAGTGGAACAAAAAACACTGTTACTTACTGTTTAAAATGCAGTTTAAATTGCTGTTCTGTAAGTGATGTATTGCTTCACAAGAACTTTGAAGTCCTATAAGGTAGTGTTACGCCCCCCAAGGTCTAGGGGTCTTGGGGAAGCAACATAAATAATGTCTGGAGTA